CAGATAGAAATGTTCTAGGACATTTGAACTAAATGTATATTTATAAACGCAATTTACTCTTTCACAGTTCACAAACTTTAACCAAAATTGAGGATTTATGTAAGTAAAAGTAAAGCTAAAGAAAATTTGTACTTTTCTGTCTACCAGACCTAGATCCTTAATAACCTATAATATCTAAAGAGACTGCCCCTTGAGTTATTTATCAGTACAGTAGATTTTTTAGTATGCAGTTGTCTCATGACCATTGAGTAGCCTCAGTTCCTCATGCTCAGTCATTTCAGCCTACACTTTCTTCCCAATGTTCCAGTCCTCCTCCTCTATCCAGGCAACCTACGTTGACACCACTAGATATTTTTTGCCTGATCATTACTGAAAATAAAACAACAGACTGATCTCAAATTGGCCCATGGGATCTTCTAATTAGTGGTTTCTCTTTAACCAGACAGTCTCTCCCATAAACAAAACTCGCTGCTCTCTTCCTGTTAGCCAGTTCCTCTGACAGATTAGACTTCTCATACTAAGCCCCATCTAAACTAATTACAGTGCCTCATGTAAAGTGCTTTAAAAGCCTTGCTGAAATAGAAATAGATTTGATGCCTTGCATTTCTTTGCCTACAGAGTAAGTAATCTTATCAAAAAAGGTATCAGGTAACTCTGGTAGTAGTAACCCTTTCTGAGAAACCGTGTGGCATTTTAACCTAAAGCATTTGGACATCAATTATCCTGGCCCAGCCTCTCTTTCGTCTTCCTTCCCCCGGCCCCCTTCCACCATGCTTCAGACTGACATTAAAATATACCAGATCTAGTGGACACAAGTACCAAACCTTGAGTAACAGACACTAGCAATGAAACATCTTTTACCATACCTACCAGAGCAAGGTCATTAATTTTTCTCAGTTAAAGGATCACAGGTGCTATGATTTGATCAGATACCAAGGAAACCTGTTCAAGAAATGGGCATTTTGGTATTTCTAACCAATCTTAGATACCTGTCTAAAACTCTGCTTTGACAGTTTTCTGACAGACCCTGAAAAATGGTTTTTTTGTTTGTTTTACCCTCCTCAATTTCCAGACAATCCAAATCAAACATGGAAAGAACGTGCCAGCTCCCACATGCCTACATATGAGGATAGATATGAGCAAAGATGCAGGAAAATTAATCCCAGCAGTGAATATGGATTTGTTTCCCAAGTAGAAAGGAATTCATATCTTCCTGTAAATGAATGAAATTAAATAATAATAAAAAATAATCCTCCTGGCCAAAATAAATTATTTTATGAAACAAACAAATGGAATTGTAAGGAGGAAACAAAGCGTTCCTTTTAAGTCTTAAAACCAAAATTGCTTCTGTTGTCTTTGATCTGATTTAAGTTGTATTAAAGGTCAATGAATATTGGAACAAATGTTGCTAAATGCTCTACTCAATGGATAAAAAGAAAGATGAAAGTTCGGCTTTGTTGTCCATAACACATCACACAATGAGCTCACCAAAGTTACCAGCTGGGGCCTTGCAAACCACATTGACCAAATAAGGCAAAAGGCTTCGTGCCTGGAATCCTTTCCCAGTTACCTCACCCAGCTTCTGCTCGCCTTTCTACAATAATTGCAGAGGTCATTTTTTTAAACTCAGATGGAGTAAATCAACAGGCTATCCAATGCAAAGCTGGGTTTGTGTAGTCTCTGGAGAGAACTCAGCTTTATTTAAACTGAGTGTGTGCAGAAAAGGAATAACTGAAATATGTGCAATAAAAACAGAAGAGCAAGTAGTATAAATTGAGAAGAGCAAGTGATGGTGATTTGTATATTGTTGGTTAGGTTACAAATATTAATGTTTTACGGTGGATGTTTCTCAAATTTGTTGGGTACCTTCAGGTTATTAAAGTGCACCTGAAGGACTAGTCTTTAATGTTATTCTTGTGATGTTCCAAAAACACTTGAACTTTGCACTCTGAGTTTATACTGTCCTTGTATTTGAAATATAGCTCTGTAACATCAACAGGATATATTTTATCCTCCATATTCTCTTTGATTTCTGTGACAATATTTTTTGCTTAAACATGCTATAGTTTTGAAGAAACAATGAAATATGTGAAATTACTTATTATTAAAACAAAATGGTGATTCTTATAATTTATTTTCTCTTTTTTCCCCTGCATATATGTGTGGATGGGTGGGGATGGCTTGGTTTTATCTCCAGCTGAATTTCATCTGGTATTTTAGAAAAGAAAGAAAAAAAGCTCAGCAAGCACTTTTAAGTGCTCTCTCTATCTTCACCTCAGCAAAATCTGACAGTAGTACCTAATACAATTTCCTATTATGTATATTGGTAACACAGATATCTAATAATCTTTTTCCTCCACAAAATTTGGAAATACAGCTTAAAAGGGTACTAAAACTGATAATTTCAAAGTCCAATTAGAAGAGAGAGAGTCCAACACCCAACAGCTGCTTTCATTGCTAGCTACTACTGACATTGTCAATGCTAAAGGCATATACAATTAATCTGCTGCTTCTATACCTAATCTTTTTAAATGTTAGTCCATAAGATATTATGATGCAAATTGACTGTAAAGTCACAGCTCTAGAAATAAATAAAAAGACAAAACTATCAGCTATCTTGTGGAGTTTGTACCACTCAGTTTCTCTTCAGAGAGGAACACATACACAGAAATGTTTTGGGGTTTTGGTGGAGAGAGGGGTAACAGAGAAACAGATGCAATTTTGTGTTTGATATGAATACAGTTCCACACACTGTTGTACGTTAACACTACAGGAAAAAAAACAGTTCACACTTGGTATTTCAGAGCAAAAACTAACAACTGACACATGGTCCACACAGCTGAAGAAGACTGCAAATAAGAAGCGATCTTCTCAGTGTTCTGTGAAACTTGCCGCTGAAATCCAAACAACAAGAAAGGATCTACATTTTTTGCTTGTCTATCAGTACAGATCACCCCAGAGGAGTTCAGAGAACCAAATCTCTGTACAAACCTTCATTAACTCCAGATAAATAAGTAGGAAGCTCAACTCATAAGAGTTCATAAATGCTCAAGGGTTGACCTCAGTGAATGAAAGTGAGGGTAAGAGATCTCACCATGTTCTCAACTTTACTAACCATGAGTTTCACAAAGCCCAAATTTCTACTCTATTTCATGTGGGTCTCATTATTCCTAGATCACAGGTTGCTATTTTGTAAAAAACTGTACTGAAAGAAATTAATTTCTCACTCCTTTGTGTTGATACCACTTAGTTAAAGGCCAACTGTAATTGCTTCAACTGATAAAAATCAATTCAAAGGTGAATGTTTGTATCACACTTGGTTATGAAGGAGGTCTGAATCTCTAATTTCTGAGTTTGGCAGTTGAACTCCATGTGCAGTGCAAGAATATATGAGTTTATTTGACATTTTATAAAACAATGAGCTGGGAGAGCTCTCTATAGGATATCAATGTGAACTGCCCAAAACACACAGTGCTGCATAACAAACTCCATTAGATAACGGAATAAGAATTAGTTGAGCCAGGCTCTCCCCTGAACTCATTCTGCACACCGATGTGTGATCACAGACAAGTCAAAACAATCACTGTAAGAGCAGAAAATGGTCATATTTTATCTGGAAGAGATATGGAAAAGAAACCAGCCATTGCAATATACCAAACATAGAGGACTCAACCTGTCCTGTAGTGTCCTGCCTTTAATGTTCAATACTTGATACAAAAAACAAGGGAGTCATCTTCAATTATATCATTATATATGTGTTGACATCTACTGAGTGATATTTAAAGGAGACACAAGTGTCTTATAAAGCTCTGCACAGAGCCCTGTGAACTGCCTGTGGATTGTCTCTCTTGATGTACCAAATCAGTCAATAGTACAATGGGTTAGGCTTTCAAATAGGATGCTGTGCAGAGAAGAATATCTCTTAAACTATAGGAATATGAAATGAAATGGTAACACAAAGAACTGAACAAGACTACGAAAACCTACTGAAAACTAAAAATAATTTTGTGCTGGGATTAAATTCTGATTTATGCAGCATGGTAAATAAACTCCCAGCCCTGCATCTCACAGCAGCATAGGGGTGGGACAAGAGAAGAATGTAGTTGTACACAAAAACGTATTAAGTAAGAGAGTAAAGAACATCCATTTCAGGGAAATCTGACCTCAAGTTCACAGCAAAAATTCTTCACAAACATTTACTTAGTTCCTGTGCGGAAGCAGTCGCATCTGTTTGCTACACATTCACAAAAGCAGTACAAGAAATATAAACCTTTGGTCTCTCTTTCCAATAGTTCTGTTTTTCTTCTGAGTTTGTTTTGAGTACAGCACAAGCACAACCTCACCTGCAACATCAGAGAACTTATTTTGTACTCATTTAACCTTACAAATGGAAGATTTCCCAGACATTTTTACGAGTGCTAATGTAAGATGCAAAATGCTTCAGAACTACCATATTTATGCAGACAGAAGGAATTGTTACTAACCATACCTCCAACTGACTATCAAGCCTTTATGCATCTCCCAGAGACTGTGATCAAGGCAGTCACTGATAGCCACTTAAGAATCCAGGATCAGATGGAAAATACCTCTTCTAGACAGTTCCTTCCAACATTTTTTCCCAGTATCATCTTCTGTCTTTATACAATGGCCACTTGAGGGCCACTGCACTTATAGCAGCTGTTTGAATCCTCTCTGTGGTTCTGGGTTAATCCAAGATGCAGCATAATGTAAATACAGACATCAGTAAATGAATGCAACATCAGATGGTAGGAATGTGCAACAGTAGCAAGAGCTGCTCCCTATGCATATTATCAGTGTTTAAACTCCATTTCTAAATCATCTTCTCCTCTGAAGCAAAGAATTCAGTATAATTTACTAACATATTAATGAGGATGGTATCAAGTCTGTTTGAATACAAAATGCCTGTTTTCAGTCCAGTCTTCAAAACATACTGATAAACTTAAATAAACATGAAATGAAAAACAACCACAGCCACTTACTTTTGCTGCTCCTATTTGCTCTTTACGAAACTTCTCCAGTGGTGCTATTAGCACATCATTAGCATTCTGGATCTGCAAAGTTAAACACAAAGCATATCTTTTTAATAGAGTATTTGCAGAAAGTAGAGTCACTGTAATTCTGCCAATGTGCAAGACTGAAAAATTCATATCTTTAACATTCTAGTAAGAGCATATGGGCAGAAGGCAAGTAATTATGTTTTCTTCACACAAAACATACAACACCAACGTAAACTAATTTATTATGGAACATTTTCATCAATAACTAAACCAATTGTAATGAATGTCTCTCTTCAATATGTAGAAGGGTTTTCTGGTACTTTACTTCCATTTCTTGCATCTTGCCTAAAACCAGAATAGAAAATGAAAACTTTCAGGAACATGTTTTGGCAGAACAAAGAAGACAAATATACTGGTACTGACAGCACCGACTAAAAAAGTCTGTGTTTATAGAATCTGAAACTTGACAGCTGAATCTTTTTGGTTATCTCTTTGGATTACATACCTAGTTACACTGAACAGAGGAGAGTGAGGCAGAGAAATCTTAAAAGATAAGTAGACAATTTAAAAAAATACTCTAGATTGGGTTCCTTCACTTTTCTAAACTAATTTAAGATGTCCGGCAGCTATTTTTATCCCTTTAACCTAAACCAAAGTTCTTAATGAAACACAGTATTCCCCTCATAGCCTCTGTTTATTTAGTGTAAATCCAGTCCTGGGAACCCCTCTCTGAAAACCATTCCCAGCAGTGACCACCCAAAGTAGTCCCCAGCCTTTTTTTCTTCACACCAGTTCAGTCTTTACCATACTCATCATTTGAGCTTTGGCAGGTTTGGAAGTCTGGGCAAAGCTAACGTGCTCCTAAGCCAAATATGAATGAATACAGCTCTTGTGGTTCTTCCACAACAATAATTGATAAGCCAAATGGTCAGTTAGGCACAAAAGCTTACTGGAGTCACTGGTACAGAACTGTGGATGCATTTTTTATTTTTATTTTTTTTTATGTACAAAACTACGTTTTTTCTCTGCCTTTAAAATTCATTGCTAAATACCTCACAGTTCAATTAATGTATTATGTATTATGTATTATCAAGTAGTTACTACTGATACCAGCAATCATTGCTAGTCCTGTTGCTAGTCATTGCCTCTCAAACTAACCTCATGTGGAGCTGAATGGCCTTCCCTTCACTCAATGCTACCACAGTTATGCAACCTCCATGCCACACTAAGAGACCTCACTTTACATACTGTCCTCTTGACAGTGTTAAAGAAACTGAAACACAACTCCTACTCATCTCACTCAAAGCTGCTGCAAAGCAAATGAAGTATCTGGGAAAAAAAGGAATTCTGCTTCAAACACCATGGAAGAACATATTCACAGGAAGCATATCACACTGAGAGGATTCATCTGAGAAGTAAGCAGTTTTGCCAGGATGAAGCACAGTTTTATAACTCCCACAGTTATACACAAACTGGGAATGGACTGCAGACATCGCCAGGCTACTTGAAAGGTGTCACACACTTCATCTAGACAGGGTCTGTGCCTCTGAACAGATCTGCTGAGCCACATCAACAGAGCACACTGTAAGCCGTTCCGTGCTGAAAGCTTCTACTGACAAGAACTCTGATGTGACAATTCATCTCCCAGTAAAACTAGGAGTTAAGCAAGTAATAGGCCTTGGTTTTGGGGAGGGAGAACATGGCAGCAAAGGACCAGAGAAAATCCCAGCAGATGCACTTCAACAGTCAGTATTATAAAGATGCAGAAGTCTGTGTAAAGACTTCCATCAATTTCCACCAGCTTGTGCCTAACTTTTGGAAACTGAAAATTATAGAGAAAGAAGAATTTTTGACTTACATATGCATTTATTAATTTCCTTTCTTTGTCAATTCCTGTCACTGCAACTACTTTATAGTTTCATTTTAAGGGTTGCAAACCGGCACACAGGCTTCCCGCCTGCCCCCTCCCACACAAAATAGGAGCCTAGTCCTCCTACAACCATTTCTGTGGAAATCTGATTGCTTTAGGTAATCTGAAATTTTCACTGTGTGGTCCTAATAGAGTAAATTTCTTCCTGCCAAGATGATAATCCCTCTCCTACTCCTAGTTATTGTGCTAGGTTGAAATCAGGGACACTTGGAACAGGCAAACAATGTCAAACAGACTGTAACAGTTTCTGTAAATAGCAACTTCAGAAACCCAAGTTGTGCTTAAAATATGGATCTTATCCTTCAAAGCTTATTTAGATTAGTCACACCTTTAAAGAAGTTATACTTTCTTATCCAATAGCTACTGAATGCTACATAGTTCCAGTGCCCAGCCTGGCTAATATGTGGCAGTTGACCCAATAATGTGATTGTTTCTCTTGTTTGGCAAAAGCATCAGTCTTTCTCCAGAAAAAGAAAAAAACAAAGGAACCATACAATTTAACTAAGTGACAATTCCTCAGTCTTTTCTAATTAAGATGCTATGCAAGTATTAGGTAGATATAACAGAAGAATTACTTTGACAATTGAGAGCTGTATGAGATATAGTAAAAAAGAAAAATATTTTTCTAAACTTAAGAACTTAATCAGATTTTTATATTTGGTATATATAATTCTACTTAGCTGTAGTTAACTCTACTTATTGATAAAAATACCATTGAAATAAGTACCATTAAAATCATCCAGAACTTGTAAAATATACTTGAAAAAGAAACATTTAAAAATTCAAAACACTTTTCTAAGGTAGTTTGGACAATTTATGAGGTCAATCTCTGTTTGCATAACTGCAAATTTCAGTACACTCTGACAGCCTTTGAGACAACATGGTGAAGCACCTTTAATTGTCTTTTCTGATTCTTGATAATCCACTTTTCCAACCCACACTCCCTCCCTCTGAAAGTTAGCTATGAAATTGAATTAATGCAGCAATATTGAGATTAAACTGGTTTTCACAATCACAGAGAAACTCTACATCTATACTTGGAGATATTTTGGGCTAGCAAATTTTTAAGCTTTTCTTTTTTTGACTAAGACTTTTAATCAGTAAAATGAAGAACATTATGAGAATCATTATTACAAAATACTAGAAAGGGAAGAATAAATTTATTGCAAATACATCTGAACATTTTAATTTCTAGATTTTCTTAAATTCAATATTAACTTTTTGAACGAGTTTTCTAATTAGATTTCTAGTTTTTCTAAATTTGGGATAGTGAATTATATGTTGCCTGTACACGCAGCTGTTGCCTTCTTCTTTTACTTAAACTGAAAGAGGGTAGATAAAGATTTATATGGAAAGAGGGTAGGTTTAGATTTGATGTTAGGAAGCAATTCTTTACTGTGAGGGTGGTGAGGCACTGGAACAGATTGCCCAGAGAAGCTGTGGATGCCCCATCCCTGAAAGTGTTCAAGGCCAAGCTGGATGGGGCTTTGAGTAGCCTGGTCTAGTGGAAAGAGTCTCTGACCATGGCAGGGGTATTGGAACGAGATGATCTCTAAGGTCCCTTCCAACCCAAACCAATCTATGATTCTGCAATTCTACTTTGGTAGAATCAGTGGATATAAACAGATTATCTATAAACATCGATGCAGCTGCTACTTCATTGTTAAATACTAACATTATAGACATGGAAATTTTAAACCCTGAATCACTTTACAAGCTTTTAGCTTCATCTAAGTATCTACAATATTGAATTGCAGCAACAAGAACAGTTAATACCTTTTGAGCTTTATATTTTTATTTGTAGGGAGAATGATGAGATAGGTTACCAAAAGAATTAACAGAATCACCAGCTGCCAGAAGAAAACAGCAACAATATCAAGGGAGACACATTTGCAGTGACAAAATTAAAAATTAAATCAAGGTTATCTGAATTTCAGCAAAACACTTAAACTACAAAAAACTTTTGGGTTAATGTCTTGTATCTTGGAAATACACTTTTTGCTCCAAAATCTGCTATGAGTATTTTTCATGGCAACACAGAATGATCACACTTGTATATGAGAAATAAAATTCATATCCTTAAAAATCTGAATGCTGACAAATTTTAACTTGCTCCCTGTTGGTATAAGACTTCTACATAACATGAATTAAATTTATTCAAAGAACGCAACAAAACCCATAGCTACTATATTCATAGCAATGCATTTCTAATTTAGAAAAATATTGCTCTGCAAGACAAAAAGACATAATTTAATTTTAAATCTTTCCTCCAATTCCTAACAATTCTTAACATCTGACCACAAACCACTTCTTTTAATCTGTGGCCTATATCAACAGCTCCTGGTCAATACAACAGTAGAGACCAAAAACGGACAACCAGGCATTTATGTAACTTATATATCAAATTGCATGCTACAAAGAATATAAACATGCCATGATAAAACACTAGTCATGTATTTAAGTCCACAGTTTCTGTTTTAAAAGTTAAAAAATATAAATATTACATAAAGTTAATATTGTGAATTTCAATGTCTGTAACTACTTGACCTTAGTAGGACAAATATTTTTACCACGTTGTACAGAAAACTCTACACAGACAAATCATATACTTAGAAAACAAAACCACAATAATATACTTGAAGTTCATCTTCATCTTTCTCACATTTAAAAAAAAAAAAAGACATTCAACAGTATCCAAGCTTGTGTTAATTTTCTAAACATATCACTACCAGTGCCAGTTATTTAAAGTAGAGCTGATGTTAAAGCAGTTTCAGAAGATTACAAAGTTGTAATGACAGATAATTATTAACATAGGTTGGACAATTCCATGTACAACATGTAATGAAATATTCAGCTTCTTAGCAAAAATCTAATGCTGTATCAAGTGGTATTAATACATTGCCACAAGGGGATGCTTATAAATCACATGCTAGTTAAGGCTGGGAGTAGTTATATATATGAATCATAGAATGGTATGGGTTGGAAGGGACCTTAGAGATCATCTCGTTCCAACCCCCCTGCCATGGTCAGAGACACTTTCCACTAGACCAGGCTACTAAAAGCCCCATCCAAGCTGGCCTAGGACACTTCCAGGGATGGGGCATCCACAGCTTCTCTGGACAAC